ATTGGTCGAAGGAAAGAGTTGATCTTGCATAAGAAATCGACAAATTTGGCTTGGCTTTGCACAACTTGGATTCAGATTTGAGTCTAAAGATTGATGCGTTCAATGCCCAATAATTTAATGATGAGTTGTGTGAAACTGAAAAAAAAAATCTTCTAGACCAAATGAGGAGCTAAAACGAGAATACCAAACATTAGACCATATTTTTATTGAGGAAGTCCGTGTTGAGAAGAGTGTTCTAGAGTCATGTGAGAAAGTAGATAATATTATATTTCAAGACTCTAGTGTGTGCACATATGAGGATATAAATAGTGATACAAGTCTAGAATTGGGGCGTGTTGGTCCTTATTCTAAATATTTTTTAACATTATGTTTGGATGATGACATGAAAATTGATTCATTTGAGCCTTTGGAGGAGTCAATGGAAGAAGAACATGCTGCTTACATTCTTGGATTTGTCGTGCCAGAGAGAAAAAATTACATTCCTCATATAAAGGCTGAAAAATGTAGAGTGAAAAATTTGTTACTTGGCCTATTTATTTTTGTATCCCCACCAAAGGAGCATAGCTACATATTGGATGTCATGTTAGGAGTACAATTCATAAGTTCAAGGTGGAGAAAAAAGTAGTTCACGTCATGTTGCGACGTTAAATTAGGCGCTTAATGGGAGACAACCCAGCTTTACTGCTTTATTTTATTTTTGTTGAATATTTTTTTTTTGTAGTGTTGTTTTATTTTTGTAGGATTATGAGCATAGAAGAAAAGCCACTGAAAGTGTGCAAATGCGAGCCAGATGGTTGGAACTAGTGTGAGGTACCCGCGCAAAGGACCATCCATGGGAGAAGTTTAAGTACCCCGTGAGCTGTTATTGCTTCGGTCATTGGCCTTTTAGGGAGTTTCTTGTCCACCCTTATTATTTCTACTTTATTTGTGCATTGGGGACACTACACTCTTTTAAGTGTGGGGTGGAAGATTCTCTGTGCTTGTATAGTATTATAATAATATATTATTAGTTTATTATCATTTTATTGTAAGCTAGCTTTTTATTTTTAATTGCATAGTTAGTAGAATTACTGGTGTAGTATAGTAGTAGTAGTAGTTTTAGTAGCTTAATTTTTTTTTTAAAATGTGAAAAAAATATAGAAAAAATAAAAAAAGATAGAAATTTGGACTTTTCCCAACGATGGATCTCCTAGACATTTTTCTTAAGGGATTAAAGTCTAAAAAAAATTGAAAAATACAAAAAAATGTCTTATTATTATTATTATTATTATTATATTATTATTATTATTATTATTATTATTGTTATTATTATTATTATTAGTAGTAGGTAGTAATAATCCCCCGTAATTTTTCTTTGTGCCTCGGTTCTTTTCCATAGGATGTAGTTTGAACCTGGTTGTAGTTTTTTTTTAGAGTGGATTAGGAATTTAGGAAATAATGGAGGAAGAAAGATGAGATTTCTAGGCGCCATTGACTAGATTGATAGTAGCATATTTAGGCTTTGGCATGTGTAGTATCTTCCCTATTATTTGAAATTATTGACGATGCCTTGCTTAGTTGGATAGCATGTCTTGTGATGCCTATGTCTCGTTTTCTTGACTTATGTTCACTTTGTGCTTCATGCTTAATATCTCATGGCTCCGTAAATACTTGCATTTGTTTGAGAGTCGGAATGAGACCATCCTTAGTGAGTCATGTGCCATGTGTGGTGAGGTTTTTGTATAGTCTATGTATTGTACTTGTGTTTAGAACTTGCCCGATATGTGAGTTGAAGCGAAAATTTAGGCGATGCTTGGTTTGGAAAATGATTTTAGGCTTCCTTTGATCTTTTTGAGCTTATTGCTTACCATAAATAAAATTTGTCCCTAGTTAACCCTTTTGAGCCTATAGACTTTTATTTGGCACCCACATTACAAGCATATACCCTTTTGTTCTTAATGGAATTTTTTTATCCTTTTACCTCTTAAAGCACATTAATTGTTAAATGAGCGCTTGAAGAAATAAGGAGAAAATGTGGGGTGGCTTTTGGTGGAACCAGTGAAAGAAAGAAGGGTGCACTTGTTTTGTAAAATAATACACCACTACTGGAAGTTCTGGAAAAAAGTGAAAGAAAAATACAAATGAATAAATATCTTATTCTTGCTAGTGGAGTGTAAATGATGATAGTGCTTAAAGAAAAAGGTAATATTTTGGGGGTGATATTATTTGTAAAATTAAAGTTGGGACTGAATAATTTATGCTTAAAGTTAATTTTTTTTATGTGTTAAAGTGCTTAGGAGAGTGAACCATTATTCCTAAATATCTCTTTTCCGTCCCTTAGCCCACATTACAACCATGAAAAATTCCTAATTGATTTTAGATCGAGTGAGCCTACATTAGTAGAGATTTACATTAAGGGCAAGCATATGGTACCAATTGCATGCATGTGACTTCTTTGTGAGAGTGAGCGCTTTTTTTTTATATATATGTGAGTCCTTAAAATATATTTGAGCATTTGATTTGAATGTGTGGATTCAACTTACTCGTTTGTTCTTGTTGTGAGGGCACATGGTTTCACGAGGGATAGGTAACATTATTAGACTTCTCCAGGATGTTGGGTTTTCAAGTCAACAGTGCATTATGACATTAAGTCGGGTTTTTGAGGCGAGGATTGTTACAAGCATGTTGTCTTTGTTTGAATATTTTTGAAGAATGGTATAAGTTAAAGGGAAGTGTGTGGTGATTGCATATGCTAAAGTTTAATTGTTGCTATCAACCATGGTCATTCGTGTAGAGTGCTCAAAGATAGAGTTATTTGTTGGTTGACTCGAGGACGAGCAACGTTTAAGTGTGGGGTGTTGACGTTTGGCTTAATGTATGCATAGTTTGATATGTATTGCCTCACATTATGCTCATGTTTCATAGATTTCGGATGTATAATATGATGATATGTGCTCATTTGTGGTATTTCTATGTGTATGAATCATTCAGATGCAATTTGGGACGAAATGACGCGAACTAGAGCGAAATTGGGAAGAAAAAGCAAAAAGTAAAATTTGAGGGCCACCGCCAGCGTGGGGCACTGGCTGTGGTGCAATTTACAGAATATATAAAATTTGAGTGCCAGGGCCAGCACTGGCCTGGACGCTCAAAACGTAAACATGTCCTATTTCGACTAGGACTCGGTTATTTCGATCATGGGATGCCTCCAACTCATATAAAAGCCAATCTAAACCTATTTTGAGAGGGGAGGACATTTTTGGAGAGGAAACACAAGCATAGAGCCGCTGTGGAGGCAGAGTTTCATCTTTTCTTCCATCAAACTTAATATTTTTTTTATGTTTCTTTGTATGATTTGTTGTTTAACTACCATGTCTATGTGGAGCTAAAACTTCACGTTCTAGGGTTATGGTACTTTCATGACTATTGTTATTCGGATATTGATTTTGATATCTTGATTTATCATATTAGTTTATTTATTCAATCCTGCACTTAATTATTTGATTGTTTGATCATCAATTGAATACTATCTACGGATCTAGAATTGAACTCGAAAGTGAGAACTCTAGATTGTACATAGGATTAAGTAGAGCAAGTTCTTGAATCTGGGCATCGGGGAAAGGATTCGCGGTTAGGATAGACATATACCTAATTGTCTTGCTTGATTGATTTACAGGAATTATAAATGCGTTCTTGTTAGTTCTAATTCCATAGACATATAGGCGTTAGGTTAGCTTTAATAGGCGAGTAAGAACTCGACAGATTCTTATGAGCAATATTAACCATGTCAACCAATAAACCGGATAAATTAATTAGTCAATTCAATTGAAGAATACAATATGATTGTTAGATAGCCCATAACCCTAGATCATTTTCATCGCATTGATAACATAAAAATCTATTATTCTTTTGTTCAGAGTTCACTATTTGTTTTTCTTTATTTTAATTAGTTTAGAATCAAATACTTCTAGGTTTAATTCTTGTTTAGATAGTTAGGATAGAATTTAGTTAATAGTTAATCACAAGTCCTCGTGGGTTCGATATCCGACTTTTAGTCACTTAATTACTTGACGACCGCGTGTACTTGCGTGTGCATTTGGCTGCAACAAATCCTAAGCAATAAAAGCTAAAAAAGGAGCGTCACGACATATCATTACTGTAAAACACTATAACCCACCATAAAACATGCTCATAAACACCATATAAATCCACTTTTACATTTATTTTCACAACAACTAAGAAGAAGAAGAAGAAGAAGAAGAAGAAGAAGAAGAAGAAGAAGAAGAAGAAGAAGAAGAAGAAGAAGAAGAAGAAGAAGAAGAAGAAAAAGAAGAAGAAACTCTAAGCAATAACTAAAAAAGGAGTTTCACAACATCTCATTACTGTAAAATACCATATATAAACCACCATAAAATATGCTCACAAATACCATATAAATCTACTGTCACATTTGTTTTCATAAGAAGAAGAAGAAGAAGAAGAAGAAAGAGGAGGAGGAGGAGGAGGAGGAGAAGGAGAAAAATGTATGAAATTGTTTGTACTTTGGGTACTAGTTAATTTTTTTTAAAGTGCGTACAAGTTAAATAGGAGCAGCCAAATATGACGTTCGTAAAATTTGTACTCAAACCATAGATCAAACAATTACTAGTATACATAATAACTAACATTCATTTTCAATTAGATATATTTTTTCTTTTTTTGGCTGAATATGCTATATGATGTTGGGAAAAGTAATATGTCATTGTACTTAACAAAATGGCTTATCCATGCCACTCGTTAATAATTGGGCCTACTAGTGCCATGGACGTTATACCACTGGCCTATTTGTGCCACTATTCATTAATGGACAACTCATCCAATATTAAAAAATAGAAATTTAGATTTTTAACACTAGGTTTGACACGTGTCAGCTACCCACACCACCACATAACTCTACCCCACTTCCTACTCTAACCCCAGTTACCCCAATCCCATTTATTTTCTTACCCGACATTTATTACCTCAAAATCCCAAGCCCCACTTCATATCAGTCGGCTAAATACTCTCCACAAAAATACCCAACCATTAACATTAAGATTTTCAAATCAATTTATGGGGTCAAGAAAATATTTCATTCATCTTCCTTACTTTTCCATTGTGGTTGTACAAAAATGTTTGAGGGGTCAAGTGGCTCAATTGGGTCAAAAAAGAAGTTGTAGTTGTGGACTTGTAGCGTATAGTTTTACGGCGGCGACCCCTATAAATGATGGTAGACGTTTTTTCAAGTGTTCAATGCCTGAAGTAAGTTTCTTTTTCATTATTTATTCATAAGTTTTTTATGACTTTTCAAGATTTATGATTTTATTTGAATGGAATTGTGGGTGATTTTATTGTGTTAGTTTTTTTGGGCAGAAACAAGATTGTGATTAGTGGGAATGGCAGGATGAAGAATTTTCCCCTAGAGCTGTAATTGTCATCAGTAGTCAACGAAGAACATTAGATGCTCTTGAACTTGAAAGGGACAGGTTGTTGAAGAAGATAACTGATTTTGAGGCTTCTATTGTTCTTGATGTTGAAACGACAATAGAGTTGAGAGAAAAATTGGAGGCTCTTGAGTTTGAAAGAAACAGTTTGATGAAGAAGATGGTTGATTTAGAAGTTTTTGCTGTTGAGAATACATTGATGATAGTAGAGTTGAGGCGAAAATTATTCAGACAATTGATCTTCATGATTTTGCTGTTTTATTGCCTTGTTGCGTTCATTGCAGCATGGGTTGGGAAGTGAACATTTCCTTTAGGATTTAGTTTAGTGTTGTGTTATAGTAGTTCGAGATACCGTTTTAGTGTTATTATTTTGGCTTCGTGCTATTTTATGGAGGTGTTATGTTATATAAGTTTGTTAGTTGAGTATTAAGCTTTGATGGATGACTCATCTCACATCTTAGTTTTGAGTATTAAGTTGTAGCCATCCAAGGGTGAGCTACTTAAATTGCATATTTTATCTTCTACTAAGTGAATAATTAGGAGTAGTTAATATCGATATCTCCTTAAAAATATCTACATCCAAGTCTCTATTTCTCCATACTATTGTATAAAAACAAACCATGATACAACCATCAAAAGGTCATTACAGAAGCGAAATGGAGACCTACTCTAGTAAGTATTTAAATCACTCATTTCCTCTGTTTCAGTTGAAACTTCTGTTTATTAGAGAACCTATAGAAAAGAAGTAAACATTCTAGGAACTAAAACAATCCGACAAGGAGCTCTTCCAAAGTAATAAATGATTATTCTAATATCACCCCATTTCCAGGCTGCTATATCAGACTTGAAAATGTTGCAAAGCTGGTTCAGTTCTTTGCCTCACTCTATGCAGAATACACACCGATGATGCACATCTTCCTTTTTATTTTTGTTTGTACACTCTCCAGTAGCGAGCTACTTAAACATGATTTTCTATTTTCCCACATATATGTTAACCTCAGATGTCTTCCTCTAATTAGAATACAAAATTCCGATTAGTGTCTCGTCAAAATTTTTTACGTTATAACTTTCTATTTTATAGGTAAAAGTAAACCTCTAAATCTATATTCTTCAATATTGTTACACAAAAATAAATATAACACTGCCGTAAAAGGCCACTATAAAAATGAAATAAAAATACCTAGGCACCTTACTAGTCTAGCTGGTACTTGAAACACAAATTTTCTCTACTTCGGTTAGAGCTTCTGTCAATTTGAGAACGTAGTAAATTGGGGCTACTATTAGATACAGTCCATAGAAATAATCAAATAACCAAAGCTTGATAGAGTTCCTATTATCAGATACAAAATAAAGCTCATCAGCGTGACAATTGCCAAAGTTGCATCAGCGGATAAAAATTGTCCATAACATATTTAAAACACAACCATCCCTTAGAACATAACTAAACTACAACGTAAATATAACTGAAATTGAACATACTTAACATCTAAATAAGCTGACTAGCATCAATTGTCATCATAATATAATTCTTTTTGTTTTTAATGATATTTAAAGGTTACTTCTGCTTGTAGTTGACGTGATGTTACTGCTTTTTTCCCTTTTCAAGTGAGTTTAGTTGGTGAATAAGGCAAGTTTGTTGGTATTGCCACTCCAGTTGCATCTCCAGTAAAAGGGGATCCTTCTAGTATCAGTTATTGCATCCTTGTTTGACTTTTTCATTGCCATCATTGTATCACTAGCAGATATGATTATTGGCCTTAGTGGTGGATCTTCATCATCACTATTTTTCGACTGTTGAGTGTCAAAAATTGATTATTCAGATTGTTGAGTTGCAGCTTCATGTTCATAGCATCTGCTTACTGAACTTTGCCCATAATGTTGATAATCTTGAGTTGCAACTTCAGGTTCATAACATATGTTTACTGAACTCTGCCCATATTGTTGATAATGTTGTGTTGTAGTAAAGTTGTTTTCCATGCCCATACTCTCTTTACTGTTGATACCCAATTTTTCTCTAAGTATTTTTTATACTCAAAATAATTTCAAAATAACATATGTGCATACATAAGCATGCCCAAGTATTTTGGTATTTTCCCCAAATTTTTATAAGATTTTCAAAATCAATTTATTGTCTATTTTAGCAGTGCAAAATCCAATAATTATTCCCAAAATTATCATTTTGGTGAATAATTTATTTATTTCTCATATTTACACCAAAATATAATTAAGGTGATTTTTGCATATTTTTACAAATTTATTTGATATTTTAAAGCTAATTTGCATATAATTGCAATTATAGCCCATGTTTCGATTAATAGTATTTTTTGCAAAATTAGTTCCAGTATTTTTGTATTACTAATGGTTTCAGTACTTTTAATTTTCTTTTAAAATCATTTTCATTATTTTTATAAAATTAAGAGGGGGAAATTGGCTATTTAATACCTAACCTATTATTATTGCAATTTTAGCCCCAATTGTAACCCACCCCATCAGATTTTTAAATAACCCAATACCCAATCCAAATTCGCCCAGCCCAATCTCCGAATAACTCGGCCCAGCTTCGATTTAATCTGAGTCGTTGATCAAATGAGATCAACGGCCCATATTTCGTTTCCTTAATTAAATTCTAACTACCCTCTTCACCCCTCATTTCATCGAGACCGGTATCTCTATCTACTTGGTCTCTTCCTCTCCTCCTTCTCTATAGAACCTTCTGGTTCTTCTCCGATGGCCTTCACCATCTATCCGGCCACCTCCAGCCTCACCTATTTCGACCACCAGCCGTCGTGAAACCTTATCTCGCTGATTCCCTCTATCCTGGAGACCCTAGGAGCCTCCACCATACGAGATGGTCACTGAAAGCTTTGCCTGGTTTGTCTTCAGCTTTTCTCCGATGGGTTTTGGCCTGATGATGCTATGAACACCATTATTGCTGAGTTTCACAGCCAGGTTTCTCCTACTTCTCACTGGTTTCTTATGAAACCCTGATCTCTACCCAGACCTCTTAAATCTCTGTATTTTTTAAACGATTTTAACTCATACCTTTATGTTTTACACTACTCTCTACTCGATCTTTACGATTGCTCAAGTTTTAAACGTTTTGTTCCCTTTTTTTCAAACTAGGGTTTCTGAACCCCTCTTCGAAATCACTTTATCTTCTGATTTTGAGTACTATATGTTTGTATTTATATTATTTGCTTGTTTGTGTGATTTTCTGGGTTATTCTCCGAGTTCTATGCTTTAATTTTGTTGTTAGTGTTCCAACCTTCTACTGTTTCTGTGATTTCTTGCTTAGGGTTCTCTGATTTTCGTGCCTATTGTGTTTAATAGGTCTAACTATTCATTGTTTACCAAATATTCTGCTGATTCTATGCATCTCTTCGAATCCTTGATTCTGTATATGTTTTCCTTAGAAGTTTTTCACTGATTTTGAATCACTTCCTTATTTGTGAGATGCTTTCCTTACTTAGAACTAATTCCTTGTGATTTTAGTCTCATCCGTGATTCTTTGACTAATTTTCAGAGTTAATTTATATTTTTATCATATTTATGTGCAAAAACATACTTTCAAATATTCAGTATATATTTTCCTTACTTGAAATATTATGTATTTGGCCCTTATTACATGTTACATGCTTTACTACTCCTATTATGGTAGATTCAGTAGTCTAAGTGATTCTTTCCTTATCTGATATAACTTGTACCCATTCGAATCATGACTCCCTAATTAAAAGGAGTTTGGTCCTGCGATTGATTCCAATTGGTATTGCTTCTATAATTGTGTACTTGTTACCCTATTCTCTACTTGTTTTCAAAACTATAAATACTCTACCCTCTATTTAGCATAACAGACGAACAAACACACTGTTCTGAACTCTCTCTCTTACACACACAAGCATACTCACTGTTCTCTCTTACTTTCCTACACATTCTCGCTCGCTTCTCTTATTGACTACTGGTTACCTAGTCGGCTAAAAGCCAAGACTGAGTAACTTGTTACTCTACTGTTTCATTGTCTATACATAGCTTCTCTCTTAGTCTGCACATTACTGCTCTACTTCCCTGCACACTACTGCTCTATTATCCCACTCTTGACTGGTATGTCTGCTATTTGATTTACAGCTTCCAAAACAACATGTTTTTATGCATATTGCACTTTCTCTTATTTCTTTTATGCTTCTACTTATGGTTCTGCTGTTTTCAATGCAATTAGCGTGCCTCTTTGCTAGTTCATTGATGTGATTACCCTTCCCTTAATTCAGCATGTCTACTGCTTCCCTTACTTGTTTAATACAGTTCTTCCTTACCCCCTAACCCTAATACATTATTAGCATGTATTCACGACCCTTCCTAGCTACTAAATAATCATGAACCTCTTCCATGAGCACTTTGGGATGAAATGTGTTGTGACTGTTTAAGTTCCGAAATATTTTCTCTAATGTCTACGTATGTGCAACTATGCTCTTACATGTGAACTACTTGTCCCAATTTCCCCGTCCTCTGTTTGTGTTTGCTTCCCTGAACTATGTGTGATATTCTAGTTCTGAGATTGTCCTATTCACCTTCTTACAAAACTGTCACACTCTTCTATTGTATTTCTTTCAAGAACTGATTCTATATGGATCATTTTTAAACTGTTTTTTTTCTCAACTCAATTTCCTTAAAACTATATCACCACTCTCACTACTCTTAGAGATTAGGTTCTACCCCCTTCGTCTAAGCGTTGCTTTGAGTACCTTTGAGTACTCACTGAACTTTGATGCACAAGGCTGGTAATTCCACAATGCACTTGTTCAACATTTCTTGGTAAATGTTTGGGTGTTGGTATTGGCCAGGGACCTAATGGGGCCTTAGGGAGCTTTGCCGCACCCAGACCATGGCAAAGGCTGTGAAACTCGAAAGGAGTGAGGTTGGAAGATTAGTCCTGGCTGAAGGCTCCCTATAGAATAATTTCTTTATTTTTATTCTTTATTACTGTAATTCGGCTATCTTTGGTTTGTAATAATTTGTAAACGAATGATTGGGGTCGAATAGTGAATATGGGAGGGGTTATGCATGCTTAGCTCAAGTAATGGGTAGAAAACATGCTTATAGGACTTTATTTACCTACTTGCGCAATAGATATCATATATAGGACAAGCATCTCACATATTAGTAATCTTGTTTTAGGCTCTTTACTTTCAATCTGTTATTATACTCATTTTGTAATCATGATTAGTTAATAACCAACAAATAACTGTTATAAAATTACTGTTGCATTCTCATTAGCATTTAGAGACCATGTTTTAGGAGCTTCTGTGTGCATTAGACATCCTGTTACTTAGGGTTTTTATTTTATATGAGTTGCAATTGTTGAACGCCTCACCAGTATGTTTAATCTAATAATACAAGTTTGGTTAACAGCGTCCTTTTAAAACTGGAATTAATATGCATGTTCACCC